TCCTTTTCTGTAGGCTGTGTGCTCTACCAACAGTTTCCTTAGCTGTTCAGCAGTGGCAGTGTTTTTTTTTTTTTTTTTATAGATCCCCTGTTGACACTTGGTGCCTCTTCCTGTGCAATTCAATTCCTGGCTTCAAACAATATTGTAGGACTATAGTGATAAAGGCCTTGTACTACTACAGAGAGGTCAATCAGAACCCAGGAGTAAACCAACAAAACTATGCCCACACCTAACTGACAAAGGAGTCAGAAACTTTCACTGGGGGAAAAAAGATAGTCTATTCAATAAATAGTGCTGGTAAAACTGGACCTCTACCTGCCAAAGAATAGAATTAAATTTATATCATCCACATTATACAAAAATCAAATAAAAATTGACCAAAGACCTTAATTTAGAATGTGAAGCACTGAACCTTTCAAGGAAGTCATAGGGAAACCCTCTTCAAGACCCTGCAGTGGGTGCAGGAACTTTCCAGGAAGAACTTCAATAGCACAGGAAGAGGCACTGAGTATCAACAGGGGGTCTACATAAAAACTGCGGCTGCACCGCTGAGGAAACTGTGGTAGAGCACAGTCTACAGACATGCTGATAGACTAGTCTGTCAGCAACTCCTCAACTGATGCTTCTCCTTTCAGATGACTCTAGGGTAGCTGACAATTACGACTAACAAGGACATTAGGCTTTTACTTATATCTGTTCTTAAAATTATCTTTCACCTTCTTGAAATTTATCATTTTTCTTTTCAGGATGAACATTAGCTCATTAAATTCAAGCTTTTCCCCCCAAAAGACGCATGTATGGTCATAAATAGTCTTAAAGCATTGTTTTAAATGTATCGCACAATTTTTAATATAAGTATTTTAATTACTAAGTTTTATATGTATTTAAACTTCCATCCTGATTTCTTTTGTGCTATATAAATTACTAAGTAGCATATGTCCTGTTTCCAAACATTTGACCTTGTATATACATTAGTTTAACACAGTTTAAACTTTCTAATGCTGCAACCCTTTATTACAGTTTCTCATATTGTGGTGACTCCCAACCACAAAATTATTTTTATTTTTACTTTATAACTGTAATTTTGTTACTGTTATGAATTGCAATCCTGATATGCAGGATATCTGTGTTTGCTGATGGTCTTGGGTAACCCTAGCAAAAGGGTCATTTGACCCCCAAAGAGGTTGAGACCTACAGGTTGAAAACTGATGGTCTAATACATGTATCAATTTTGATAAGTCTAAGCTTAGGAAGAACATATATTGTCCAGATGCTGTTATCAAGACACCCCATGTTGTTTAAACCTTAAGAGCCTTAATAATTTTTTTAACCTTTGGTCTATTAATTATTGAAGTGAAAATTTAGTTTGTGCTTTGTATACTTTGAAGCCATAATCTGTAAGATTTTAAATTATGTTTTTCTTGTGAATTAGTAACTCTAGATTCCTATTTTAAAAGGTAATATCTACTTTCTTTTGGTATTTTATATGCATGTCTTACTATTTATTTATTGTGTGACTCATACATTCATGTGCGTGCAGGTACGCTCACTTGCGTGTGGATGTTTTGAGGGTATTTTCCTCTCTCCATCTTATTCTTTGAGGCAGGGTCTCTCACTAAATCTGGGACTCCCCATTCCAGCTAGAGTAATTGTCTACTGGGATCTGCCTGTTCCTGCCCCTTCCATCCCAGTGCTTGGGTTATAGACATGCCCAGCCTTGCCCTACATGGGTGCCAGGAACCAAACTCAGTTTCCTAAAGCTCACACAGAAAGCATTTTACTCACAGAGGCAACTCCTAGACACATCTCCTAACTTCCTATCTTCAAACTTTTGCACAGTTGTCCTATAAACAGGACTCACTTGGATTTTCAATGTTGCACCTAGTTCACTTATCATTTTCAGCCAGAAATCCCTTAGCTTTGCTTTCATTCTTCATCCAGACATAGAAACGTAGTTACCAGCTATTATTTTTCTTACTTTCAAGATATCCATCTCCTTGGGCTTCTATTTTACTAGGGTCAATCCAAATAGCATCAAGCCAGCAAGATAACTCAGTGGGTAAAGACACCACTGTGAAGGCTGAGTTTGATTCCTGGGTCCCAAGAGGAGAAATGAGAGAACTGACTCTAGCATGTTGTCTTCTGTCCTCCACATGTATGCCAAGCACGCATGTGTCTCCTTCACATATATAATAAATAACTACATGCAATCAATAAATGAGTAAATATCCCTTTGGAGACCATTTTCCTATTCTCAGGTGGTTTAAATTTTTTCCTGTCTGTGAGCTCAATCTTCACATCATTTAAACATATTTTCTTTTTGGGAGCCACCGTGTTATGCCTTCCATCAATTCTTGAAAAAATATCTTAAGATACTGCTACACATTCCTATTACTAAATTTCCTCAGTTAAAAAAAAATAACCATTCCTTTTATTATTGATGTTCTATACATGTCGTCCTTTAAAAGAATCTACCTGGTCATTTTTCTTTCTGATCTTTCTGTTCCTTCTTGTAGGATACAGTTCTTGGAAATCAAAAACCCAGGAGACTAAACTTCTTTCTCCTTGTTTTGTCTACTTTCACCTCATGATGGACTGTGAGCAGAGGGGTTACTTACTTGGGATTGGGAGGTGACCTTTAGTGACATTTTATGGGTGCAAGCTCCACAGTATGTTTGGCTATTTTGGATGAATTAATTGCCTTACAGTTGTGAGCTCAGGACTAGACTCTCTTATTAATTTTTGTGATCTGTACTTCCTGGACTGACCAAGCAATATCAACTCACATCCCAAACACAAAGTTAACCATCTAGGTATGAAATCACAGAATAATGCCAGGCATGGTGGCACACACCTTTAATCCCAGCACTTGGCAGGCAGAGGCAGGTGGATCTCTGTGAGTTTGAGGTCAGTCTGGTCTACAAAGCAAGTTCCAGGACAGTTAGGACTGTGAACAGAGAAACCCTGTCTCAAAAACAAAACAAAACAAACCTTACCTCACCAGAAGAAGCCATGTAACGTGTTTCTTGGTTACCCTTTCATTTCAGTCCTCTCCCTTTGAGAGTTCTGACTGTGTGGCGGAATCAGCATAGGACCAAACTGAGCCCTCTGAAGTGGGGGACAGTTGTGTGGCTGGGGCAGTCTGTGGGGCCACTGGCAGTGAGACCAGGATTTATCCCTAGTGTTTGAATGGAGCCCATTCTCTTTGGAGGGATATTTTGCTCAGCCTAAATACGAAGGGCGGTACTGGGGAGGGCTTTGGTCCTGCCTCAAAATGATGTGCTAGACTTTGTTGACTTCCCAAGAGAGGCCTTACCCTCTCTGAGGAGTAGATGGTGGGGGGGAAGGTGAAGGGAGCTGGAGTCTGGGAGGGAGTGGGAACTAGGAATGTAGGAATGTAAAATGAGAAAAGATTGGTAAAATAAAATAAAATAAACAGTTCTGGTTGTGTAAGAGGCCTCAAATGGTTACACAAGCCCTATGCTTTATTTCTTTTTTTCAGAGTTAGTGTTAAAACCAAACTCCTTGTATGTCCATCCCTGACCCTGGGCAGTAATGAGTAACTGAAATTGCCAGAGGCATTTGTATCAGTTTTATTTTATTGTACTAATATACAGTTGTCTGTTTTCATAAGAATTACTGGTTTTATTTTGAACTTGTATTTGCTTTCTGGGGAATACCTGATAAGTTTTGTCCAATATTTCCAAGTGTTTTTGGTCTATTTTAAAACATTTAAGGCTATTAATCATTTCCATAATTATAAATCTCATTTTTATTTTTATTTTTTTGTGGGAGGGTCAGATCTCACTTATGTAGCCCAGGTTGGTCCCCAAATCATGATACGTTCTCCCAGTTCCTTTTTCTTTTCTTTCCCCCTTTTACATATGCAAACATTAAGTCTAATTTTATTTCTGTTGATAATCCTAGAAGTACCAATTGAAAATTAAAGCAAAGGTAGTCAGCGATCATCCTCAAAGTCGTTGAAAGGCACTCTTTCTCACAGCATGGTTCCATAACAGTTTCACCATCACAGAGGGCAGCAGTGAGAACACAGACGGGAGTGAGATTCAATGATGTATTTCAACTTATATGACCAACTCTTTAAGACATATTAACTTCTTCCAGCCTAAAGGTCCTTGCCATATAAGGGGGAAGACATTTTGTACATATGTGTGTGTCATGTCTGTACATGTGTAGCCAGTAACTTCTTCTCTTGATATTACCTAGTTATTTTTTGAGACAGGGTTTCTCACTGAACCTTGGAGCTCCTCTTCTGAGCTAGACTGGCCGAGTAGCACGCCTCTGGGAGCCGCCTGTCTCCCTCCCTCCTTGTACGGAAGTGACAGATGTGTGTGTGCTACCACAAAGGGCCCTGATTATGTGGGTGCTGGAAATCTGAACTCAGGTCCTCAAGACTGCACAGCTAGCACTCTACTCACCAAGCCATCTCCTCGGGCCCTTAAAGCACAGAAACAAAATGAAACCAAGCAACCAAAACAAACACATAACCAGGCCCAACAAGTGATTGATCAATAACTTGTATTCATTAGTTAGGACTCCATGAATTTTTTAAAAATTGTAATACTCCCAGATTAAAAATCTTAATATGGAGTTGATAAGATGGCTCAGGAGGTAAAAAGATTGTTGTGCAATCCCAATAACCTGAATTTAACTCCCAGAACCCACATAAAGGTGGAAGGAGAAAACCAACTCCATGAAAGTTGTCCTCTGACTTCCAAAGGTGTGCTGTGGCATGTATGTCTTTATGCACACAATACTTAAAAATTAAAGAAAAATCTTAATATATGTATAAAATTTTTAATTGTTTCTATCTCAGTTTATTTAACTGCAAAATCACTATGGTCTTAGTAGGTGCCCAATAGAGGAAATGAAACAAAAAATTTAGCGTCACAAATATTTACATGATTCATACAGTACATTATAGAAATCATGTCTCTTTAGGTCCTTCTCTGAGTAAGTCAACGTATAATAAACAATACCTTAGCTTTTGGGGTGGCTTTAATTGTCCAAATGCAATCAACTGCTTGGCCAGGTTTTGTTTTTTCTTCTTGTTCTACCTGGCTAGAACGTATTATTCCATCAGCTCCTGAGAGCTCAAACTGGCAATCTAGAAAAAAAAGAAAATATATTCAAAGAAAAATAAGACTAATAAAAAATGTCACAGGAAGAAAAAGGTAATATACTAAACCTGGGATGGGATTTAAAATACCTCCAAGGTAAGTAAAGTCTGGATCTGCAACAGAAAAGAGAAGAAAGCCATTGGTGCTGAGCTTCTTTCAGACCTAACTTAGATCTAACGCTTCACCACATCGCAACATTAAGAGGCATTTTTATTGATAGATACTGCATATCCCTAGCCATCTGTGACAATGCTTATGGGGTTGGCATTTAATGAAAATTTGTAACTTTTTATTTAATTACGCATGCTTTACTACTGAAAATATCAACTGTCAAATGTAATAGCTAGTCCACTAACATAGAACAGATGAATAAAATATGGTACATTTAATACAATGGAATACTATTAGTCTTAAAAGGAATAGATTTCCTTTGTGTTGAGCTATTTTAAATGTTTTCTAAAATATTTGCTTTAATTAGTAGTGGTAATATTCGTAAAATAATATACCCAGTGCTATTGAGTTGTAAATAGTTCATATTTAATCACGGTCAAATGTTCTTTTGAAATATATTACACAGATGCATCAACATTTATTTCTAAGTTAAAATAGAAATTACAAATATAAGACTCTATATGTTGTTACAGAATATTATTTTAAGGTGTGTTACATTTGTTTATGCTCTGCAACAATATATGCTCTAAAAACTAATTTACATACATGGTTTACTCCAAGTAAGAGGGCACTCAATTCTTACTAATACTGTTTTTAGTTGAAGATATTTCAGCAAGTTACCAAATTACATATTGGAAAGTGGAGAAATAAACTATTGGCTTAACTTCAAATACATTTCAGTGATTGTTCTTTTTAAACTAAAACTAAATTCATCCTTGTTTAAAGAGTCAACTAATGGACACCAATTCTTTTGCAAGAAAAAAAAATCAAAGCAGAATTAAAATCTTAAATTATACTGGGGAAAAGCTATAGGATCTTTTTGGAAAATTAATCAGAATTTTTTTTTCTTTTTGGAAAATTTATTTATTTATTTAGAGAAAGGGTCTCTTTCAGGCTGGCCTTGAACTCACAAGTTTCCTATCTACCTTGCTACTGTAGTGTGTATAGGGGGCCTTAAACTCTCTATGTAGTGTATAAATGGAAATATGCCTTTAAATAACAGCAAAATAAACACTGCTCTTTAGCTCATGATGTATCACATATTTATTGATATGAGTTTGTTTTCTAAGTTTGGAGATAAAACTGGGGAATCCCTGTCCTACAGAAAAGGAAATATGATACATTAGAAGAAATAACCTAGGAAGCTCAATATAGTCCTGGATTTGCTACTGTATAGAAAAGTACTTAATTCCTAAGCTTCCTCTATAAATTCTATAAAACAGGATATTATATAATCTTTATGCTACTTCCATTAGTATAAAATTTAATGTAGGTAGTACCAGAAGACCTATAAAGATACAAAGATAAAATATTCCAGAAATTCCAAGCAGTTTTACCTATAAACTGTATAAAAATTTCTCATGATATGTAAAAAGCACAAAACAAAAGTATTTTCGTTCAAAATGAGTGTCTTTACATATAAAGTTAGATGATTAAGTTAATTAATTAGGGGTGTGTGTGTCAGAGGACAACTTGCAGAAGTCAGTTCTCTCCTGCCACCTTGTGGAGTCTGTGGATTAAATTCAGTCTGCCTGGCCTTTGTGCAAATGCTGAGCCATCTTTCCAGCCCTAAATTTGGTGGATTATTAAAAAATATTTTAAAAAGACTATTAAAAATTGTGTATGTATGTAGAGGCCAGAGGTCTACTTGGGTATCTTCCTCTCTCATGCTCCAATTTTTTGTTTTGTTTTAATAAGAAACAGATCTCTCATTGTACTTAACAATTCTCTCACAAAACCTAGAGTCTGAAGTTTTTGGCTGGACCAGCACGGGTCAGAGCTGCTAGGATCTACTTGGTTCCAGTGCTGGGCTACAGGTGTGTGCATTTTTACATGGTTTCTTTAACATGGAAGTATAGCCTTCAAGTGCAGAGCAAGCAGTTTAATCACTGGAACTTCTTCCCACATCCTGAAAAAAACACCTTTTACTGTCTATTTTGTTGTTTCAAGAACTTATAACTCGGAAAGATGTGATTCATATGTAAGATTTTGTAATAGCATTTCCGACACTAAAATGATTACTTCAGTTAATTTAGACTGTAAATATTACATGCCTGACCTATTTAAGCAAATCAATTTTTTACACTTTATTAGAATCAGCTGGTCCAGTTCTGTGAACAAGTTTACAGGGAGACTATCCTTTGTATCACTGAGTCAGCCATTCTTCTTAATTTTGCCATTTTGAGAAAACAAGTTACTACATTTTACTTGTAATAAATTCCAAATAAAACATACCACGGTAACTATGGTTTTTGAGATAGTCTTGCATATAGCTCAGGCTGTGCTATCTGCATTTCTCAACCTCCTGAGCAGCTGGGATCATAAGTGTGTGGCACCATACCTAGCTATGCTAACTATTTTTTGATGTACAGTTCAGTGGTTTTAGTACACTTACATAGTTGTATTGTTCAACAATCACCCTTTTTATTTTCAGAACTAGTTTCCACCATCAGAAAGGAAAGTCTGTACTCATTAAAGTACCAATTTTCTACTTTCTATTTCCATAAATTTGCCTACTTGATGTCAGACCACAGTACAAGAATGGAGTTGTGTGATAATTTGGAGTGCTTGTGAGAAACTCCAAGAAAACAAGAGTTTAGTGACCTCAGTTTCTTCAAAACACAGAATTGTTCCTAGAATGTTCTTTTGCCTTTCTCCCAGGTGTAGCAGATAGGAGTGAGTTTGCTTCTGCTGTTGTTATTCATGTGCTTCTCTGAAAAAGCATGTCTCGGCCAAGTATGGCCTGTCCTTGTAATTGAGTACCTTACTCATGTGATCCTTCCTAACCCTCAGGTATAAACTGTCTGATGCTCTGAATAAAGTTGGCTACTGCATGAGACTTTAGCCCACCTCATTTTTAGGAACCCGCTTTCCCAGGTTCATGTCACCAACTAGAGCAGCAAACAACTTAATATAACTTACACAATTGGACTTAGACAACTGGATTTGCCTTTTGTTTTTAAATAATTTTCCTTAGCACATATCATAATTCACCTTGGGGCCCACTTGGTAGAGAGAACTGATTTCTTCAAGTTGTCTACTAACTTCCGCCCATGCATAGTGACAAACATATACACAATAAATGTAACACACCACACACCCTATCGACTATCAAGCCATGGAAAAACCTTATGTTCATATAATTAAGTGAAAGAAGTTGACCAGAGTATCAACATACTGCATGATCCCAACTGTACATGATGACATGGAAATGGTAAACCAAGAAAGAGGCCAGTGATTGCCAGCAGTTTCGGGGGAGGAAGGATGTGTAGTGAGTGGAACACAGGAAAATTTTAGGCAGTCAAACTTCTCTGTATAACAGTGGATATATGCTATTTATCAAACTCATCAGACATATAATCCAAGGGTGAACTATATTGTAAGCTAAAGACTTTGGGTAATTATGATGTGCCCGTGTTGGTTTATGGATTCTACCAAAGATACCATTCTTTTGGAAAGATGTGGATATAAGGGAATGGAGGGGCTTATCTAATAATTACTCCTGCTTAGTTTTGTTGTGATCCTAAAATTGTTATTAAAGTTTATTAGGGGGGGCTAGAGAGATGGCTCAGAGGTTAAGAGCATTGTCTGCTCTTCCAGAGGTCCTGAGTTCAATTCCCAGCAACCACATGGTGGCTCAAAATCATCTGTAATGAGGTCTGGTGCCCTCTTCTGGCCTGCAGACATACACACAGACAGAATATTGTACACATAATAAATAAATATTTTAAAAAAATCATAAAGTTTATTAGGTGAGTTTTACTGTTTGAAAATACTGTCCTTTCAGTATTAGATAGATGATACAGGTGCAAAAAACTTCCATAATGCTTACTGATTCAGATACAAAGTTGTTTGATTTTTAAGGAAAAAAAAATGCTAGTAATAGAGTTTTATGCATAGCATGGCCAGTTTTGTAAAAACAAACTGAATAAAGAAATTCATCTTAAGAGGTAACTGCCAAATTGTTAGCAATGATTTTTAAACATAACGGGACAGGATTATAATTAGTTTCATTTGTGTATTTTTCAACTAAATTTCTTCCATAAAAAACAAAACTAAAGATTATACACTTGCTGTATAAGGTTGTTTGCTCATTCTGTTATGTTTGCAAACTCCTTGGGCACAATAACATACTAATTTCTGAGTTTCCACATTAGTGTATATGTACTTTTCACTGGATAGAGTTTTAGACTTCTTACAGCATTTGATCAGTATTTTTTACCTAAAAGGTGTAGCTAAGATGATGCAGTAGGCTGACGGTGTAGTAGTCCAGATATATCCACATCCAAATCTCTGTGAATTTTACTATATATGGTTATTAAAAAGAGTGACTATTACATTACAACATAAAATACATCAATAAGAATTTTAAGAAGACTGAGTTTGAAGAGATGGATCATCGATTAAGAGCACTTGCTGCTCTTTGCAGGGAGAACTGGAGTTTTGTTCCCAGAACCCATAAGGCAGCTCACAACCACCTGTAGCTAGTTTCATGGGACATGATGCCCTCTTCTGGTCTCTGTAGGCACCCTGTGCATAAGTGGATGCAGACACACACACACACACACACACACACACCCCACATATAGAAATAAAAAGAAAAAGAATTTTAAGAAAAACTGTGAAGTCAGAAGTTAGAGCAATATGGTCACAAATACAGAAATGCTGGGATAATCTTCCAGACAACGGAAGAGATAAAGAACAGATGTAATGGGGTGTGGTGGTGCACACCTTTAATCTCAGCACAGGCAGGCGGAGTTCGAGGCTAACATGGTCTACATAGAGAGTTCGAGGACAGCTTAGCGGTACATAAAGACTGTCTCAATCTCCCACCTGTATCCCCCAAAAAACAAGATTTGTTCTTTGAGCTAGGCTTTACTGGATTTTGGAATTTTTGGCTTCTAGAACTACAATTCATATTTCTCTTTTCTTAAGTTGCCAGATGTGGTTATGTCAGATCCAGGAGGTGAATTCAGGTATTGCTACATCTCAGGTACAACTTCATGCTTCAATGTTATAGCTACTGAGTGGTAGAGAAAAGACAAACCAAATCTAGCCCTCTTAAATGCAGGTGCAGGAGTATTTCTATTGTTAAGTAGTTTCTAAAGTAATTATAGTAAGTTCAATTAAAATCTGCCTTGTGGGAATTGTGAAACGACAGTGGATTCAATTATTTAAAGGTATATATTTATTTTGTTGTTATTGGTCTTAGATGTGTGTCCAAAAAGGTATATAAGAAGAAAATGTAACTTTGCCTGATCTACCACAGAATTAGACTGGGATGTGGTCTACTGCTTCCTATTTTAAAAAGTTTTTACTTGTTCCTAGACTGATTTTCTTTTGACTTTGACAATTTCTTTAGTCTTAATCTGATTACCTTGATCAAATTATCCTTTTCTAACCTTAAGATTCTAAAGTCAGTGGTATATTCAAATACTGAAAGGTAACTTATATTTTAAGAACGCTTAATTTGTTACCTGGGATGAATGAGTATTTTGCTCGAAATCCTAGTCCTTCAAGTTCTTCATCAGAACTAAATTTAATCCACATGAATCTTCCTGTTGACCTAATTAACGAAGGGCTTTTCATGCCACAGTAACGATCTATGAGAGGTGAGAAACCAAATGGCCCATCTCGAACTTCCAAGTGATCAAAGCGACATTCAAATGATGGCTCTATATAATAGCGTTCGTCAAAGGTCAGCTCTATCCGTTGACGAGGAGCAGCTATAAAGTAAGAGTAGGCAAACAGGGTAGCATGAACAAGACAGGTGTGGACAAGCAAATCAATCACGTCAGTGCTTCACATCTGAGAATCTCACTGGGAACTGTGTATGCAAAGCCGTAAGAAAAGCTCTTTCACAGGAATAGTCATGCTATGTTATAGAATTATAGTAACATTTCCTGTGGTATATGTCATTACTTTAGTTAAATGTATTTGGTTGACTAAAATTAGCAGAGGCGAAAGGCTAATTCTTGCTTACTTTAAAAACAATGTACAGTGTGTCATATGTAATACAGAAGAAAGCAAATGCACTCAGCATGAACAGAAAGCCCAGCAGGGACGCTGGTGAACTTACGTTCCTTATCAGGAAGTTTCTCATACAGTGATGCACATAGTTTAACATAGTTTAAACAATTACAAATTCTCATTAAAATTAACTATTATTTTGTTAATGTATTTGATATTTACAAATATTTATCTTTATTATAATTTAATTCACAAACATATTTAAAATTTGTCCCAACTTGTTTAAATAGGGCATTTAGCTAATGTCCTCAGTTTTATAGTGAAGTAGAAGTTTATCCAAGAAAACAGATTTGTTAAATACCTTCCAAAATATAGATACACTCTTTGTTTGGTGGATATGAGTCAGGATAATTTGGTGAAGCAAAATGACCTCCATTGCTGGTTCGAACCCAAATGCCACACTGGGTTGCAGGAATGTGCTTGATTCCAATGTTCTGTCCATCTTGAAGGGAATTTTAAATACCATATATAAGAAGCATTCTTTTCTTTCCCCCAAACACCCTAAACAATTGCCTACTCAGTTGCATATATAACTTCACGAGAACCACTGACAAATTTAGTATAACCAACTGATCACAGCAGAAGTGGAAGAAAGCTGTTGTATATTATACTTATTTTGAAGGCTTGATGGTAAAGGATGCGTTTGCCACAAAAGGTACCTGCCACCAAGTCTGACAACCCAAGTTTGATTCTTGGAAGCCAATAGTGGAAGAACAGAGACAGCAAGCTGTCTTCTGACCTCTGCACCCATATAAGTTTCACCATTACTTTGGTGAAAGTAAAGCAGAATTAATGAACTGGGACAACCAGGTGCAGCTGAGGTGAAAACAGCAATTGAAAATTGGGAGGCTGGTGAATGTTAATGAACTCACTGACAGTCCCAGCTTTCTCCCACTTGGTCTGTTGAAGCAAGAGACTCTGACAGCAAACAGAGATTTCTATTTTGGGAATCCAATCTATCTAAGAAAGGGTTAATCATACAGATCAGAGAGTCCCAAATGTCAGTTCAAATCTCAGATGAGAGCCACGGTAAACACATCCTACCCATACCTACAGACAACTCATAGTCAGCTTTTCAGTGCCCCCGTTAAAATATTAAGTACATATGCAAGGACAACCAGGAATTTGAAGAAAGCTTCCAGTATGAAAAACATGTTGGAAAACATGGAATAAAGCAACCCTGAGTAAATAAAGCTCATGCAAGGAAATGAAAACAAACAATAAACCCAAGTTATCAACCAATGAGTAACAACAGGGTTTCCTGCGATTTCTCCAGAGACAGAAAAAAAAAAACATTCCTTTTTTTTTTTTTTTTTTGGTTTTTCGAGACAGGGTTTCTCTGTGGTTTTGGAGCCTGTCCTGGAACTAGCTCTTGTAGACCAGGCTGGTCTCGAACTCACAGAGATCCGCCTGCCTCTGCCTCCCGAGTGCTGGGATTAAAGGCGTGCGCCACCACCGCCCGGCTCTTCAGCTCCACCAAACGGAGAAAATCAAAGCGCGAGAAAGTTTAGAGCAGAGGTGTGATGCCATAGGCGTGTGTTGAGTTTTACTGGAACATATTAATACCCTTCAACTGCTCATTTTGGTTGCTTTCACAACAAAAGAACTGGGTAACTGTTTCAGAGACAGGCTCATAGAAGCTTAAATATTTATTGGCTCTTTCCATAAAAAGTTTTGTAATTGTTAGTTTATGGAATAAAAATTGAGGCAGTCTCTCCAGATTGAAATAAAAATATGTGTGAAAATATACATAAATTAAATATATATTGAATTCATTATGTTGAACTTCATAATAAACTCAGGACTTTGTATGTTAACTTTAAAAAACAGCAATACAAACCCCTAAAGGCTGTAAGTATTATAATAATAGGAATTCCCCTAAAACACTAGAGAAAATGAAGGAGGAATTTTTTATAATTAATTAATCAATTAATTTTTCCCCAGTCCAATCAGTTTCCCCTTCCTCTTTCCTCCTTCTCTTAGTCTCTCCTGTTACTCGCCCCAGCATCAACTCTCTCTCTCTTCCTGGATGAGGAAATTTTAGAAACTGAACAAAACCAAAATATTTCTAAACCTAAAGACAAATTTGTATCGAAAAATTTTAATAAGTGGTTTAAATGCTGATTTTTGCTTTTCTTACTTTCTTCCTCCCTTTTTTGAAAAAAAATATTTATTTATTTATTTATTGAGACAGGGTTTTTCTGTGTAGCTCTGGCTGTCCTGGAACTCACTTTGTAGACCAGGTTGGCTTTGAATTTAGAGATCTGCCTACCCCTGCCTCCCGAATGTGGGGGTTAAAGGAATTCGCCACCACCACTCAGTCATAAAACTATTTTTGTTGGTACTTCATAACTATAATTTTGCTACGATTATGAATTATAATCATAATGCAAATAATTTTTGGAGATAGAGGCTTGCCAAAAGAATCTTGACACACTGGTTGAGAACCACTGGTTTAGAGGATTAAAAGTTCATGTTTTGCAAGATGATGGCATGATTTCAGTCTCCATTACTCAGAGAGTGGTAGGAGAAAACTCACTTCCCAATGTTATCCTGCTCTACAATGTGTACTGTAGCATATGTGTGTCTACCTTTCCCCACACAAAATATAAACAAAATATCATATATATCATAGTCATGGTTTAAAGCAGGAAACAGGAAGAATAGAATGAAAAACAATTTTTCCAATTGTTTATAGTTTGATTTTTTTATCATGTGAACATATAACTTTGATGAAAATAAAAAATAAAATTGTACAGAAAATGCACTAACTCTAACATGAAAATTTGCTTTAAACAATCACAGTAGCTATTCTTCAAAGTCAGACAGTACAACAGGACCAAAGGGCTTTGAAGACTGTACTGAAAGACTTTTCTTGTTCACACTAGAAAAGACACTTTTTTATTCTTCTTAGTGATAAAACTGTAAATTTCATTTAAATTTTGGATATAAGTAACAGTGTATTAAAAGTTATTAATGATGCTGGCTTTTAAAAAGCTTATCAGGGCAAACTTTGTGCAGACAATTTAGTAGCTGATTCTGGTTAAGTTGAGATCTATAGGTTAATAGAATGCTTTTGGTCACTGAAATGATTAAGAGGAATGTGTTAGTAAGTATTTTTTATCCACTAAGCCAGGGTCATTTACGAGGGCACCTCAGTTGTCTGTGGGGCATTTTCTTGACTAATGACTGATGTCGGATGGATCAGCTCACTGGGTAGGGCCACTGTGGGCAGCTGATTCTGGGTCCTGTAAGAAAGCAGACTGAGCAAACCCGGGAGAGTAAGCCAGTAAACAGCACTCCTCCATGGCCTCTGCATCAGCTCCTGCCTCCAGGATCCTGCCCTGACTCCTGCTCTGACTTCCCTTGATGATGCTTTGTAATGTGAAAACTGTAAGCCAAATAAATCTTTTCCTCTCCCAAGCTGTTTTGGTCATGGTATTTTATCACAGTAATAGAGAGAAAACTAAAACAAAGGATTATGAAATAGCATCCAAAAGTTGTAATTCTTTCAAACTGCGTAAACATACCATGTTCCTCTCCATACTTTACCTTGGGTCTTTTGGGCCACAGCAATCCCTTCCACTACAAGTACTGTTATTAGCAACACTAGAGAAAGAACAGAAAAGAACAGTTAAAAAGTTGCATTTATTTTACATTTTACTACGCCTCTAAGGAAACTCTGATGACAATAAAGGACTAGTGACTAAAATTAGACGGGTACTGTTATAGAGGTCACGTTGGCCTTGAACTCAAAATCTGGCTTCCTTTATCTCCCCCGTGCTAGGATTATAAACATGTGCACACATTTTGGTTAAAATCGCCATTTCTTACCAACATTCACACTGAGTCTTTGAGATATGTAATACTGTGCCCTTGGGCTAATGAGAAGGCTGGCTCTTCGGGTAAGGATGCTTGCCATTGAGCCTAAACACCTGAGCTTGATCTTTGGAATCTATAAGGTGAAAGAACAACTCTGAAAGTTGTGTCTAACCTCCCATGAGTACCACAGGGGGAATGTGTAAAAGCTCAAACATGCGAATATTCATGAGCACACATACATATTCACAATGTAAATAAACAAATGCTATGTTCTTATTTACTATTTGACTCCCAAAACAACCAAAGAAAAGATGTAACTGATTTTGTACTTATTTATATAAGAAGTAATGAATACCATGTGCTGTTAAAAACATTTTTTTTCAACATGAAAACAAGCCCACATATATGTGTTGTGCAGGCTTTTGCTAAGCCTAACCATTCCATTTACTCTACCTGAAGTGTGTTTATGCATTTGGTCAGTTGTGCAGTGTGTTATGCCAAAGCTCGAGTGGCTCACCTGACTTCTAGAAGTCCACTGACACTGCTGCTGTGCATCACTGTGCTGGTTTTGCTCTAACAGGAAGCCATATTAGACACTAAAGCTATTTCACTCCTCACCCCGAACGTTTGAGACCCAACCAACAATATATACCTTTTTTTCTGTGTTTTGGAGATTTCAAAGACATTTTTTATGAATGGCACCTTTTTCCATTTAATAGAAAACGTGCTACCAGGCTGCCCTAAACTACCAGTTTGGTAGATAGACGTTTAGTCAATAGCATTTATCTCCTTCTAAGAAGGCAAAGGTATGGCTACAAAATTAAGCAAAATGCCTAACAGTATGGACTTCAGGAGGCAGGTGAATATAGGAGTTTAGGTTTCTGTCTTATATTACTGTACTAGCTGTGAGGTCTTTTTAAGCTTCATGTTAGTTATCTGCAAAATCCAGAAGATGTACTAATATGATGGGACCAGTCTCAATGGTGTGACTATCATATCGTATGTACCAAGCATTCTGCTAAGTAAATGGTAGATACTGTGAAAATTATCATCTTCCTAGAGTCAACTGTCAAAGACTACCTGAAATACAGGTGAAAAGAGAGGTTTAGAGACCGCATAATGGAAACATGGAGAAGGGAACTGGTATTCATTCTTTCTGAGATAAAAGGGCAGAGTGAGGAAAACATCTGGAACAGACCTAATTGGACTTGAACTCCTGAGAAAGAAATATGGTAGCATAGCAGGTTAGAAAAAAAGCAAGGTAAGACTTAAGAGTAAAAACTCTTAAATACCATGTTGATGAATTTATACTTTCAATTACAATTAAAAAGAAAAAGCACTGAAGACTTTTGTTTGCTTATTGTGGTGTTAGGGAATGAACCCACAGTGCTGTGCATGCTAGCCCAGTGCAGTGCCATTTAGATACATTCCTAGTTACTCACTGTAGGTTTTTATTTTTGATTTTTTTGTAGAGAGGATTTTACTACATAGTATTGGTTGGCCTGGAACTGCTAGGTAGAGGAGGCTGGCCTAGAATAAAGAGCTCTGCTGGGATCAAAGGTGTGCACCACCAAACCCAGTCACTCACTATTGTTTTTTAAACCAAGAGAGTATATCACTACTTCTTTCATTCTCCTAATGGTTGTCTGGAGGCTAAACTTATGAGAAAATCATTTGCGAAGTAAAGTAATGGTGATGTACTGAAGCAGAGAAGTCTGTGGAATTGGAAAGGAGAGACTAATGACATGCTTAAGACACAGTGAACTGCAATTTATAACTTACAAGATGTTAGGGAGAGGGAAATAGAGTGATTGACGACTTTGCCAAATGACACACACACACACACACACACACACACACACACACACAGAGTAACAGCACGGGTTTGCTTAATAGCATACCTTTAGTGTCTATTAACAAGACTATCATGTGCGAAGATATAGTTCTTGTCACTTAGTTTACATCTTAAAATCTAAGCATTTGACCTCTTCATCCTTGGCTTCTTGAATCCTTATTAACCTTTGTCTCCTTTCAACTATATTGACTGCCTTTCCTTTTTCAAAGTTTTTTTTTTTTTTTTTTTTTTTTTTTTTTTTTTTTTTTTTTTTTTTAATGAATGGTGCTTTCTTCCATTCAGTAGAAAGCATACTACCAGTCTGCCTGGAATAGGTATTGAACTTTTAATTAGGACAAGAAAAACCACTGTAGGTTTTTGTTTGTTTGATTAAAGACTCCATGTCAGAATGAATGATTCTTTTTATTTTCTTTTAAATTTGTTTTAGGTGTTGTGGGAGCATGTCTTTAATCCCAGAAATCAAGGGGCAGAGGATTTTAGTGAATTCTAGGACAGCCAGGGCTACATAGTGAAATCCTATCTCAAAACAAAATACTTCCCATCTTTATACTGGAACTGAGTTAGAGGAACAGAGCCTTGAACTTAAAAAACAATAACCACAACAAAATTAAGAGAGTTATGATTACAAAACCAAACTTATAATCCCAAACATTAGGAGTCTGAGGTTCAGGAAATGAAACATTCTTTTATGTCGGCTATTCTCTCAGAGGAACCCAGCTCCCATGTTGTGTCATTTAGGTGACACACAACGGCTCGATACATTTTGTTCACGTTCTTTTATTTCTAGAATCACAGGTAGACTATCAGTTTTCACATTTATAACTCACAGCTTTAAAGTAAGTGACACCAAGAGAGCTGAAAGGGTAAGAAATCAACAAACATGGGCTGGAGGTGGCTCAGGGGTTAACAGCACATAATGTTCTTGCAGAGGACCTGGGTTAAGTCCCCAGCACCACATGGTGGCTCAAAATGATCTGTAACTCCAGTTCCAGTGGATCTGATGCTCTCTTCTGAACTTCAAGGGGACCAGGCACACATGTGGTACACATAGATACATGCAGGTAGCACATCCATACATATATAATAAAGATAAATAATCTTAAAGAAATTAACAAACAGAAGCAGGAGACCAATAGTACAACTAGAAATAAAAAAAAGTGTGTCAGAAAATTAAAAGCATAGTAAGCAATAAAAACTCACACATATAAAATAAAATTTAAAAACAAATGGTTTGGGGATAGTATATTAACTAAAGAAATAGCTGGGTGGCTGTGGCACATGCCTTTAATCCCAGCACTTGGAAGGCAGAGGCAGGTGGATCTCCGAGTTTGAGGTCAGCTGGTTTACCAGAGTGAGTTCTAGGACAGCCAGGGCTATACAGAGAAACACTGTCTTGAAAAACAAAAGCAACCCCACCAAACCAAACCAAATGGGTGTGTGTGAATAATTTTAATAAAGACAGAAACAAATGTTTTTATTTTGCACATTATATTAAAATAAAATATATAAATTTATTTTATATACACATGGAAAAATGGTTATACCATCAGAAATATGTACCAAAATAAAAAAACCACAAAATTCAGCTTTATTAATATTAAACAATGTATATTTGGGGCTGCAGTATGGCTCTGAAGTTAAAAGCAGCTGCTGTTCCTCCAGAAGACTAGATATTGCAGCACTCAAAGCAAGTGACTCAAAACTGTCTGTATCTATAGCTCTAGGGACCCCACATCTTCTTACAGCTTACAGCTTCCTTGGACATCTGCACAGATGTTCTCTCTCTCTCTCTCTCTCTCTCTCTCTCTCTCTCAACATGCACTCTAAAAATGTAGTTCTTAATGAAGATGAAAAATATTGCCAGGAAAAATTTTAAGGCAAAAAAAAGAGACTTACTTCATGTAGTTTGCAAACTGGGGAGACAGAGCCATTGGCATAAACTTAGTATGATCCAAAGGAATGAAGAAGGGTTGGTTAAAATAAAGCTCTTGACCAAGTTCTCATGCTGGCCCAAGAGTTCATTACAGATTGGCTGATATTTAAAGCTTAAGGCTGGGTGGGGTGGTGTACACCTGTGGTAGTTTGAATGTAACTGGCTCCCATAAACTCATAAGGAGTGGTACCATCAGGAGGTGTGGCTTTACTGGTGTAGGTATGGCCTTGTTAGAGGAAGTATGTTACTGTGGAAGCAGGTTTTGAGGTCTCATACATGCTCAAGCCATTCCCAGTGAGACAGACCACTTCCTGCTGCCTGTGATTCAAGATGTCAGAATCCTTAGCCCCTTCTCCAGCACCATATCTGCCTGCGAGTTGCCTTGATGATAACAGACTAAACCTCTGAACTGTAAGCCAGCTTAAATAAAACAAATAAAATAAAAATAAAAACAAAGTAAAAAATAAAACATAGTTTACTGTAGGTCATATAGCTCATTGGTTAGGTTTGTTTATCTTGGCAGCTGAAATAGGAATATGACTAGGCATGAGACCCCAAAAGTTTAGCTTGTCATTTTTCCGTGAAAAATGTGACATCAACCTATCCCTCTGTTAGCAAATTGTCACCAGACTTCATTTTTATTGCTAGCTGGTCATCTGGACCTCTTCTTGGAGCCAGCTGCCAGTGAGGGCATCTAGATACCTGTTAGATCTCCAAAATCTCTTGGGTTAATTGGGTTCTGGTTTCTTGTTGGGATAAATTCAAAGTCTTAAAGGTTTTAACATTACCCTGAGTCTGGTCTGCATCTCTTGTAGTACCTGTTAAAACAGCTCATGATACGCTTCAAGAGAAGCCAAATGTCTTCCTTGTATGAAGAGAATCACTGAAAGTGGTAGGGCAAAACACAAGAGGGAACCAGTGCCAGATATGATTTAGCCACCTTTAAGAGTTTGAAAGTTTCCAATTCAATCTGCCCCAAAGTCTCCAGGTACAACTTGA